CCGGTTCTGAAAGCGATAAAGCGTCGAAAAACAAGAAGAAGCGTAAGAAAGACAAACAATCAGACGACGAAGCGGATGACAAAACGCCGCTCCTCGCGGAAGGAACTGGCGACTCCATCCAGCCGGCCGACACAACCACTGATCCTGTGGGGCGTAACGACGAGGTGCCCAGCCAGGAGCCCGAAACCAAGTAAGATATCTACCCACCTTAATGATAACAATCTATTTTTTGTGGCTCATTAGACTATGTAATGATCTATTGAGGTTTAGATTCAAATCTCAGTTACTTAAATACTAGTTCAAGATCTCAATAACTGTGTAGGTGATAATAAATTGCTACAAGTCCAAAAACGAAAAATAGCACACCTATTCAATGTAATATTTAGGCATTCGGACAAAAGGAAGGCACAGGCTTGCTGTAGCTCAAATGTATATCTCTAAAGATTCAAACCCAGCAACAGCCATATACCGTTCCAGTACTCTAATCACAAAGTCACATGGTCTAGCGATACCCAAATACTATGTGAATAAGGGGTTGTTATGTTTGTAGGACGATTTCCAACCAACAGGAGATGATTTTCCTGCCTATTTATTAAGTAGCTCAGGGGCTAAGTGATCGCTGTAAATTTCGCGGTACACAAGCAAACCCAGGTTTGATCCCTGTCAGCCAGGTGGTAAGTAAATCAGCACCAATGAAATTGTTAATTGTAATTTTAAGTGTTGATTTACCACCTACTTGGCTGTAAAGAAAAATATCGTGAGGAAACCTGCATGTCTGAGAAATTAATATATTTAAAGGCGTGAAGTCCGCTAACACGCATTGGGGGTCGCATGGACACTTCCTTGTTCTAAAACCACCTCAGAAATGAGACCACCAGCCAGCCTACAACCAGCTGTCAGATGCAAATAGACTGTAACTTTACTTTTTTTTGTCTTTATTTATTTAATCACCTCTATGTATAAAATGTTTTGCTCAAATTGCTTTCTTGGTTTGGTTGTATTATCATCTCTTTGTACCTTACACTGAATTAAAGCTTGGTATATACTTATCACAAATTAAAGTCAAGATGAACCCTCAGAAGTGCAGTTGATAGTCTCGGAAGTTGTCAACATATATGAAATGTTTGATGATGATGCTCAATTTGGAAAGGGAAACTCCTTTATAAATAAAATACTGATATTGAATACGTTTTTGAATCGCCATTCATATCTCGCTAATACACAGTTTAATTATTCCAGAGAGGAACAGCCCGATGTTCCGACAGCAGACAAACTGTCTGAATCAGAATCCGAGAACAGTCAGCGTTCGTCAACTGACAGGGACTTTGAGATGGTGGAGCCTGGGGACATAGAAGCGGGCGATACACCCAATCAAAATACATAAATAATAATAAATTATATTATATCCGATGACAAATAATTGGTACTAGAGCCTAATGGCTTATGTAAAAATTATACGCACCAAATCCTGCACATGTTTTGATTAGAAGTTCGGTATCATATGCGAATATTTAAAGTGTTTGGAAACCATTATTGACATACATACTTATTTCACATTTATCTATTTCAGACATTTCTGATTTTTAGTTTACATCGAATTAGACTAATTTTACAGATTTCAATGGATTAAAATTTTACTTTTATAACACCCTGTTGTAATTCCCGAAACGTCGGGAATTAAAAGTAAAAATTATACGCGATAAAATCCGTAATATTAGTTTGATTCCAGACATTTCTGTTTAAATGTAAAAAAATATGATAAATATAATTGATTGTGAAATAAAACCGAAATCGGCAGTTACTCACTACATTTTCTTATGAATTCTGTTTACAAATTAGTTTTTTGTTCTATTTTTTTTTGGTACTACATTGAAAAAATTAACTGTGTGAAATATGTTTGTGTGTACTTTGATCTGAGTGATATTTTGTTAGTAAATGAATTTATTACATAACTCGATGTAAACTTATTTATTCTCTAGAAAATTTAATGAATATCCCATATTGTAGCAATACCAGTGCATTTGAGCGTATGTAGAATTTAATATAGGCTACACACAATTAGGGTAAAAATTAATGTATTCCTGGAGCATGGGCAATAGGTTAATAGTATGGGACATTTTGATATATATGTACATGGATCAGTTACATTTATTTGTATATACATACATAATCTAATATGTTAAACTTTATGTTTGTTTATTTGTATTTGATGCGTTGCCATACCGTTCATCAGGTTGCGCTAAAATTTCAGTTTATTTGCTTGCACTTTCGCAAAGGTAAAGGTAATAGGCATAGTACAATTAATACAATTAACTTACAGTAGACGGCGCTCGAGTCCTACCAACAAATTTATTTGAAAGTTATATATCATTCAACTTAAATGAAAGTATTATTATTCCTAAATAAACAATATAACTCTTCCAAATTTAAAACGAAATTTCCACAATTATATCTTCTGCAGCTGCAACGCGCTGGGTATCAGCTATGTTATAATAATTACTTAAACAAGAAACAATTAAAGGATATATGTATTGCATAATCAGCTATACAATGCACATGTATACAAGTTGTTAGTGTAAACACCGTTATCCTTGAACCCGTTTCACTTATAGAACGTAAATTCAATGAAAAATTAAATTTTTTTTAGTAAAATCTCAATTTTTCCTTCATTCCTCAACTTTTGCCTGTCCTAAGCCAGAATGAAAGTATGACGGAAAAGTTACATCACAGGTTATGTAACTACTGTGTTTTTATTTGAATGTTGTGGAGGTAGCTAGTGCGGGCGGTGATCTTTACAGTGATTACGTCGCTCGGGCGCATACAACTTTTTAAATTTTATGAAAGAAAATAGCATTTTTTTTAAATTTAAGTGAAACCAAACCACTAGTTTCAAGGATAACGGTGTTTACACTAACAGCCTGTATATAAAATGTTTTTAATATAATCTGTTTCTAATCAATTTGCTGTGAATGTTAAAAATGTTTAGATACTTTTATTACGTCATATATTTTGTTATTCTCAGAAATATTAATCTTCAAAGTATTTCTCAATAAAAGCATTTAAACATTTTTGGATAAAATCGTGTTGGAATCATTTAAATAGAGGATTGAGACTATAAACACTACAACAAATTGCGTACAAACACGGCGGATATGCGATTATAGACTGTATGTTGTTCGTGTGTAAGACTGAAATTCGTGTGCGTTATTTAAGTGACGACGCCGTATTGCTAATTAGAAAATTATAAATACTAATGAAATCTAACAAAAATATGTGTATAAAGTTATAACGACATTTTCTCGATAGTACTATTCGGATCAATGTAATATTATTATAATCGTAAGATTAAGCAAAAATCTAATTGATTATCAATTTTATTATATTATATTGATGTTATAATGCGGCGTCATTTTTAGCAGGGAAGTGCTGCTAATAAATATAAATATATTTTTAAATATTAAAGTGACACCATCTAACCGTCAACCTGGTATGCGGTCATATTCGGTCCATGGACATAAGTTACCAACAAAGAACAATTGTTTTTACCAGGATTAATATAAAGTCTCTCAGAGCTTGCGACCATACAGTAGGAGTGTGGTATCAAACCATGGACAGAAGGGGAAGGAATCCTAGTTTAATAAAAGATTATTTATTTATATGCATTTTTATCACAGTACTTTTGAATTGTGTTATAAATTTATAAGCGCGTAATTTATTTGTATATATGTATATTCCATGTCCCAGCTAGGAACCTACTCGTGTAGTGGGGTTGATTTTAGACAAATTATTAATTACGGTTGAAAATGTATGCAATTATTTTGCAATTATATTCGTTTTAAATAAAAATCAGTTTTGTGATTTCACGTTTTGGTGCTGTCGGTTAATAATAGTGACAAAAACTGTGTAAATGGAAACTCATATCATATATTAACGAAACTGGATTTTTTTGTATATACCATATTATTATTATAAAATTATCTGTTTGAATCGTATTGTGATTTTAAACATTTAATTGTAATGGTATTATTTTAATAGAGTTAGATCTGTTATCGAAATCAAACGAAAGAATTTGAATTCAAAATATACATATTCTATTGTTTTTAATTATATTATTGTTTAAGTGGCATTATGAGTTTCCTTTGTCTCTTGAAGACGTGACGCGTTTTCTTTGAAATTAGTGCATTTTATTCTTTGTGTTAAATGTTTTGTAAATACGTTCCTCTGTCGTATTTTATCAAACCGGTGTCATACGACGACGTATCATTAACGTTATGTAACGTTAACGAAATAAACAATGTACTCTTTTTAATCTCGCTTTTTATTCTATCATTTTAGTTACTTGATTATTATTATTTTTGACAGGCTTAATGAAGAACGGAAGAATTTATAAGAACTTTTTTCGCGATTGTAAATGGTTTAAGTTGCAAGATAAAACTAATAATATTATTACAGAGTGCACGACCAAGTAAGAAATTGGAATATGGTGTAAAATTTTCACAGACGAGTAATTTTTGAGACAAAAATAAAACTCTAAAGTATAAATCGTCCACACGTTATTTTATTTTAATCTATGTTACGACTATGCGACTGAGCTGCATGTCATGTCGCTTATTAATTCTTGGGGGCGCAACTCAGCTTAGAGTAACTACATACATTTGGAGAAAAATTTGATTTTTGGCTTTGCATCTTTATCTGTGCATCGGTGAGTCGTACAAAATTTTTACCCTGGGAAGTTGAATGACTTGGTTCCTTAATTAATCATTGTAACTGTTTAGTTACCATTTTTATCAAATATTTATAAAATAAGTACATATAAATATTTAAAAACATCGTCATTTTAAAATTTATTTGCAAAAAGCATTTGACTTAAATTATGTACACTATGAATATTTTCTATTACAATCGTTCTTACTTTACAAAATTATTTTACATTCCTAATTTGATATTATTGCGACTACCACATTTCTCTGAGAAATTCATAAAAGATAAGTATGTTGCATTTAAAGGTTGCCTCTCTTTTCTTGTTCCAACTCAATTGATTCGAAAAGTGTTTTAAAGTTGCCAGCTCCAAATCCCTGTAATAACACAAATGGATTAATTACATAGGGATTTAATATTATATTTTTCATTTTATTTCTTTCGTTAACAGTAGTTTAGTTTTCAAAGTAATTTTTTTACTTTATTTTTTAAAATAGTATGAGGGTGACAAACCAGCACACTTCACCCGATAGTATCTGGATGCTGTGGTCCATTGACATCTACGTTTATCCCTGATTAATAATCAAAATGTGGATGCGTTATCACCCCTTAGGACTAAAATAGGATGCCTCGTTACCAGTAAACAGGCGTCTCCGGTTTTCTACACTCACCATACACAGCATTAGCTTATAGCTGGTATTCTGTGTCCCAGATGTCCCGTTCTTGCCAAGTCGATGCGACCCATTCATGCTGTATCTTATACAAATAAATAAAACTGAAGGGTCTGTTTGTAATAACAAAATAACAGTTTTTTTCTTAATGCAAATGAAAGTATATAAGTTACTTTATAACAAAAAGCAATTTTTAAAATATTTGTCTGTTTGTTCCGGCTAATCTCTGAAACAGCTGGAGCGATTTTGACGGGACTTTCACTGGCAGATAACTAATGTTATAAAGAGTAACTTAGGCTACTTTTGTTTTTATTTTGACCTGCGTGTTTACGTGTAAAAAAATTAAACCCACAAAACGCAATCGTAATAAATTCCACGCGGGTGATGTTGCAGGTTGCGTTAAAATGATACTGCATTGAATCCATACTAATATTATAAATGCGAAAGTGTGTTTGTTTGTCCTTCTTTCACGTCTCAACAGAGCGTCGGCATGGCATGATTTTTTGTATGGGGATAGTTCGGTGGCTGTAGAGTGACATAGGATACTTTTTTCAGCGGAAAAACATATCATTCCCGTGGAGAAATCGAATATGTTGCAAAATTAAATTCAGCTAGGTGGCGCCACCGTGATTCTACAAGACGGACGACGGTACCATGGACGAACACAGAAGGTCAGAATATCTGCATTATTATGTCTTTTTACCAAAATTAAGATAAAAAATGTATGGATGTGTATTTTTCCACACAGGACCGGGAAGAGAGCGATAAAAAACATAAAATTCACCAGCTGATTTTCTTCAAACGTTTTGGTGCATTGTAATTCACAGAATAGGCGATAACCTCGCAGACGATATTAAGTAATCCGTTGGACCTCTGCCTTCCCCGCAAGGGTTACAGGCCTGATTATAAATATGGATCAGAAATACTATCACCACCTGTCACGCTTTCACCCTTAACTATTACTTAACTATGGTAGAAACAGTTCTTAGTAAGCCTTATTAATAAGCCTTAGTAATATTTATTGAACGAAAATGAATACAGTTCTTATATGTGGTTATGAATGAATCGGTATTACAATAAGAAAAATTGTGCAAAATTATAAGAAAAATATTTTTTGAGAGTTTTTAATTTAAATTGGTTCCGCTAGATGTCGTTACTAGATTTTTAAAACGTGGTAACGAAATGTTAATGTTAAAACCGTTAAATGTTAAAACCGTGCGGATAAAGGAAACGCTACGGTAATAATGGACACGTCAGAGTATAGCTGTTTTAAAATACTACAGCTTTTATCGGACGAAAGTACATATAAAAAGGTCAAAACAGACCCCACAACTATTACGCTTAAAGCAACTAGCGATTTAATAAAGACATACTCCGAAAAATTAAATCTCGACGTGAACTCGCTGATACTATCATGTACCAAACCACCAAGGTTGTATGGGTTACCGAAGATACATAAAACAAACGCTCCACTACGTCCTATAGTGAGCCAGATTGATTCACCAACTTATAAGCTGGCACAACACTTGGCAAAAATACTGTCACCACTGAGAGGACATACCAGAGCATACACAAATGATTCATACCATTTTGTTAGTGAGATAAAAGACCTACATCTCGCTGACAATGAAACTATGGTCAGTTTTGATGTTCAGTCACTATTCACATGCCTACCTATTGAAGACTGCATCTCAATTGTAACTAGGAAGCTAGAAGATAACAACATGCCTGCTGAATATGCAGTATTACTCAAACATTGCCTCACATCTGGCTATCTAGTGTGGAAGGTAGAGTTCTACAAGCAAGTAGATGGTGTGGCGATGGGCTCACCTGTATCTCCCATAGTCGCCGACATATTTATGGAGGACTTCGAGGAGAAAGCCCTTCTTACTGCTCCTGTAAATCCAAGATTCTACAAGCGGTATGTAGACGACACCTTCACAATTTTACCATCTGACAAAGTAACTGCATTTTTAAACCACCTTAACTCTATAAACTCTAAAATACAATTCACAATGGAGTTAGAGGCAAATAATTGTTTAGCTTTCCTAGATGTTTTAGTCATTCGAAATCCTGATAACACTATTGGTCACACTGTGTATAGAAAAAAGACCCATACCAACCGATATTTAAATGGTGAATCTCACCATCATCCTTCACAGTTAGCTACTGTGGGTAAATCTTTGTTTCAAAGAACACGAGGGATCTGTGACAGAAAACATCTGGCCGCCGAGCTGCAGCATGTCAAGCAAGTGTTTCAAGACAACAAGCTTCGGATCCCGCGCCTACGTCACAGTGACCGAGTGAAGCCGGCCACAGTCGAGCGTGTGCCTGCTGTACTACCATATGTCAGAGGAGTCACAGACAAGGTTGGCTACATCTTGAAGCGAGCTTCCATTAAAACATACTACAAGCCGCCGAAGAAGATTAGTCAATTTTTACCATCCGTCAAGTGTAATATCCCTCTACAAGATGCAGGAGTGTACAAGTTAGATTGTGAATGTGGTCTCTCTTATATAGGTCAAACAAAAAGATCCATAAAAACCCGCGTGAAAGAACATATAGCTGACGTGAAGCACCGACACTCCGGGAAGTCTGCAGTCTGTGAACATGTTCAAGATCGTCCCCACCATTACATCAGATTTGATAAAACACAAATCCTCGCAAAAAAACACCATTCCTACCAAGGATGATACGCGAGGCTATTGAATTTAAAAAACATCTTAATTTCAATAGAGAAGATGGTTGGGTGCCGCCATTTGCTTAGGATCCTGTAATTAACAAAATTAAACCCAAACCCAATCATACCACTGCAAGACTTCAAGATACTGTAAGTTCGTTTTGCGTAAATCGGACCAAAAAAATATTCAAAAACTGAAGGTAGCCGGGCTAACAATGACATTGGGACGTCAAACATCTCAGTCCCCCCCCGTGACCATAGTTGCTGTAAAGCATCCGAAACGTCGGGAATTAAAAATAAGTAAAATCAGTTAAATAAACGCGATAAAATCCGTAAATTTAGGAAAGTTGCAATCAAATCTCGCTCTGGAGCGTTCGAAACCTTTGATAACAGCTGGATTGTCCCGTATTCGCCTATTCTATGTAAAATGTTTAATGCCCACATTAATGTAGAAGCATATAGCTCTGTCCGCGCAATCAAGTATATCTGTAAGGAAGGAGCGAAAGGTATATATAAAGGATATATAAAGGATAATATATATATAGGAAATAAAGGAAGCGACCAAGCAATATTTAATCTCAGCAGTGAAGGTGAGGCAAATCCCGTTAATGAGGTACAGACCTTTTAAGCAGGGCATTATGTCAGCAGTATCGAGGCAGCGTGGCGTCAACTTGGCTTCCCTTTACACGAAAGGCGCCCAACAATTACTCACCTTGCTGTGCACTTAGAAAATGGAGAACGTGTATATTTCACCCAAAGAAATTTCCAAGAAAGAATTGCATCACCGCCAAAAACTACACTAACAGCGTTCTTTCAACTTTGTCAAACCGACCCCTTTGCAAAAACGTTGTTATATTCTGAAGTCCCCCGCTATTATACTTGGAACACATCTAGGAAGGAGTGGAAACGCCATATTCAAGGCGCGCCTGTTGAAAATTGGCCCGGTGTAAAGTCATCAGATGCCCTTGGTCGTGTGTCCATGTAACTAATTTTGAATATTTCTGTTTATGATTGCTGCTGCACCATGTTCGGGGTCCTATAGGATATAAAGACCTTAAAACTCAACGGTCAGGAATGCGCAACTTATAGAGAAGCATGTGAAGCTCTGCATCTTTTAGAAAACGATAATCACTGGGATGAAACCATGGAGGAACCTGTGCAGTGCCAGTCACCAGCCAAAATTAGGAATATTTATGCAACTCTCATATCATCTTGCGAGCTATCTAATGCACATGAATTGTGGGACAAATATAAAGAGTACATGGCGGAAGATATTTTGCGAAGGTTACAGCAGACACACGCGAACATGACATACAATGAACACATTTATAATGAAGCACTTGGAAAAATTGAAGATAAAGTAATGGCAATGGTAGGCAAAAAATTAAGGGACTTGGGAAGCCCGAACCAAAATAACCGAAAGATACCGAAAATGAACTAAGTGATGAAATTGTACGTGAAACAAACTACGATATACCAGCTTTGCAGCAGCAAGTAGCCGAATTTGTACCCCGCTTGCTTCCCGAACAAAAACGAGTTTTTGACAAAGTATTAGGACAAATCGAATCTGGAAATGGTGCACTTTTCTTTTTAGATGCCCCTGGAGGAACTGGGAAGACATTTATGTTAAATTTATTATTAGCGCAAGTACGGAAAGATAAAAACATTGCTGTGGCCGTAGCTTCCTCCGGTATAGCCGCCACGCTGCTAAGCGGGGGCCGCACTGCACATTCTGTTTTAAAACTCCCTCTAAATCTAGCCCAGGAAGAATCGCCGATCTGCAAATTTAGCAAAAATAGTGCACGAGGTATAATGCTACGACAATGCAAACTTTTAGTGTGGGACGAAAGTACAATGTCGCATAAAAAAGCTGTAGAAGCACTAAATCGAACGCTCCAGGATTGCGCAGCAATACCGATGTGATGGGAGGAATGGTGGTTTTACGGGCTGGTGACTTTCGCCAAACTTTACCTGTCATTCAAAAGGGCACACCTGCAGATGAAATTAAAGCATGTCTCAAGTCGTCTATTTTATGGAACAAGGTGACAAAATTCAGTTTAACTACGAATTTGAGAGTGCATTTGTATAATGATATCAATGCTGGAAACTATGCTGACACACTATTAAAAATTGGCGATGGGCGGTTGGAAACGGATGCTGAGGGCTGCGTTAAATTGACGAGAGATTTTTGTAATTTAGTACAGAGTCATTCAGAATTAATTGCGAGCGTTTATTCAGATTTAACGAACAACATGCATGAAGACAAATGGTTATGTGAAAGGGCGATTCTTGCACCAAAAAATGAGAGCGTTAACAAAATAAATTCAGATATATTAAGCGAAGTAGCAGGAGAAATAACAGAGTATTTGTCAATAGACACAGTTATGGACACAGAACAGAGCACTTCATATCCCGCAGAGTTTCTAAATTCTCTAAAGTTGTCAGGTGTGCCCTCACATAACAATTAAAATTAGGCGTCCCAGTCATGCTTATGCGAAATTTAGATGCTCCTCGGTTATGTAACGGGAAAAGGCTGCGTGTGACACATCTTGGACGGAACATAATCGGTGCTACAATTTTGACAGGCGTAGGAAAAGGTGAAAATGTTATAATACCACGGATCCCTATAATTCCCACAGATTTTCCTTTTCAATTCAAAAGGTTGCAGTTCCCTATTAAGCTCAGTTTTGCAATGAAAATTAATAATGCGCAAGGGCAAACGTTACAGGTAGCGGGGTTCAACTTAGAAAAACTGTGCTTCTCTCATGGTCAGCTGTGTGTAGCATGTTCGCGTGTGTCAAATGCCCAGAATCTCCACATTCTTTCCCCGAATGGCAAAACATATAACATGGTGTACAGTAGCGTCTTAAAATAGTGTTCAGTTAGTTTTTTCCAAAATTCCCACAATCAATTAATCAGAATTCCCACAGATCTTCCCTTTCAATTCAAAATTTCCTATTTAGCTCAGTTTCTTTTCAATTCCAAATGCTGCACCTCCGACGGACCTATTAAGCTCAGTTTCCTTTCAACTCAAAAGGCTGCATCTCTGACGGATCTTTTATTTGGCTTAGTTTTCTTTAAATTCGGAAAACTGCATCTCTGACGAATCAATTTAGCTTAGTTTCTTTTCAAAAGTTTGCATCCCTGACGGATAATTATGCTCAGTTTCCTTTAATTAAAAATATCCCATTTCCATTTGGAATAAACAGGCTATTTTCATGCTTTCCTATACGCTTTTAATGGCTGCATCTCTGACTTTTCTTTCATTTCAAAAAGCAATGGATAGTTCATTTCCCAGACCATGCGGGCGAAGCCGCGGGTAACAGTTAGTTAAACTAATAAAATTAAATTTATTCACTGTCAGGTAAATATAAGAAATCATTCAGATACTAACATGTCAATTTCTATCCACCTGATGGCGAAGCCTTTGCTTCACTTAAAGCACCAAAAATCTACTACTGTAGCCTAGGGATGTAACGATTCCGATACTGATACTTATATAATCGGCAGACCGATATATCGGTATCACGTACAACCGATATCAGGAGTTTGAAAACCGCGCGAAACGAACAATGTGCGCACGACATTCTTGCTCAGCGCAGTTACCTCAGAGTATCTGTTTTCAACCGCAGGTCTCTTTCAAAATGATTTGCGTAACAGATTATCTGCTAGTTAAACAAACTTTGTTTTCTTCACAAAAACCTACCAAAAGCTAACTGTAATTACTGACTTTATCTTTTATATATGTTTACTTTACCAATTTGAGTAATGAAAATTATTTTCTTGATTAGCGTTTTAATTGCTTGAGAATATTCTTGATTATTTCAATTAAACAAATGTTTTCTTTGAAACAGAAACATAAACTTTTTTATTCAATGTAGATTATAAACAATACTTATTGAAAGTCAATTTTTTCATTTACCACTGGTTCGAAAAAAAACCTCTGTCCTGGGAAGAACCAGCAAGAAACTCAGCGGGACTATTTTTTTTCAAATAAAAGCTTAAAATAACGTTTACAATTAACAACACAAGACAAATTAGAAATAGCTTGGTAGCGATCACCCTTCCAGGGGTTATTATCATCCATAAATTCCTTAATATTATAATAACCCTTTTTATACAAACTTAGTTTAATAAAATTTTTGAACTTTGCGTATGACAAATTTTGTATATACGCTTTTACAACAAAATCCCAGATTTTGTTGTAAAAGCGTATACATCGCCCCAAGAATGAATTACTGACTCGGTGGAGTCGAGTAACTGGTACTACTAGCTTGTGTCTGTTCCTAGTATTTACAGAATGAATATCACTTATTTTTGCAAAACTACGTTTATTCTTGTGTACGTACATTACATTTTCATAAATATATTGAGAGACCAGAGTTTATATATTAATTTCCTTAAATTTTTGTCTCAGTGACTTGGTTTTAAATTATATATTGCTCTATGACTCTCTTCTGTAAAATAAATATAATTTCAGTGTCAGTCGCGTGTCCCCATAGCAAAATACCAAACGACATAATGCTATGGAAATAACTAAAATAAACTATTCTTGCTGTTTCAACACTGGTAAGAGTTCTAATCTTTTTTTACAGCATATGCTGCAGAACTAAGTCTGCTAGCTAGTTTTAATATATGGGGGAGCCATTGAAGCTTTGCGTCTAGTATGATTCCAAGAAAAATGGTGTTATCAACAAGACTCAGTTCCTCCTATTTAAAATTACATTATTATTAACATGTTTGACATTAGGAGTTACGAATTTCATACATTTAGTTTTAGTTCCATTTAAATGCAAATTATTAACATTAAACCAATTGACTACCTTAGCTATAGCATTATTTACTTCATCGTAATTTAATAACTGTCGTTTTAATTTGAAAATTAATGAAGTATCATCAGCAAATAATACTATATCATGGTTATCCCCTACTATGTAAGGTAAGTCATTAATATATACAAGAAACAGAAGGGGGCCGAGAATTTAGCCCTGAGGCACGCCCATTTGTACAGTCGACCCGGAAGAACTCATACTATTAATTACAACTTTTTGCGTGCTGTCACTTAAATATGAAATAATTAATTTAAGAGCATCACTTCTTACACCGTAGTGTTGAAGTTTCCTGATTAATGTTTCATGGTGAACACAATCGAAGGCCTTGGATAGGTCACAGAATATACCTAAAGCATCCTGTGAATTCTCCCATGCATTAAAGATATATTTAATAAGCTCAACACCAGCACCAGTTGTTGAGCGACCCCTTGTAAAACCGAATTTATTTTTATGAAGTAAATTATTTACATTAATTTTTTTTACATTTGATCAAGAATAATTTTTCCAAAAATTTTACTAAGTGTTGGCAGTATAAAAATATGTCTAAAATTAGCGGGGTCCAATGTACTGCCAGATTTAAATAAAGGTATTACTTTACTATGCTTCATTAAATCAGGAAACACACCAGATTTGATACTAGTATTAAAAATAATAGATAGTTGAGGTGCAATTGCATCTATTATAGACGCAATAACTTTAACGGAATTCCTCCACAGATCGGCGGTTTTCTTAATATCAATAGTCTTAAAATATATTAGAATATCTTTTGATGACACTTTATGAAATGTAAAATTCTTTATATACTCATTCACATTTTGTTTAAGTAATGATTCGGCGACGACAGAAGAGAAAATAAATATTTCAAAATGACATTTTGGTTTTCAAACTTCTCAAAGTTCAATCTACAATAAATATAGGTAACTTTTATGCATAATAAAGAAATTTATTTATTTGTTCTTTTTTTCTATTTCTGCTCAGTCACTGATAAAGGTATCGATATCGGTATCGTTGATTATTTACTACAATAATCGGTATCGGTATCGTATCGGCACAATTATGTATCATTACATCCCTTGTTTAGCCTATTGCCTTCATGTGCAGTATGTAGATCTGTGGTTGTATTTGACTATAAGTGCTGATTCTCCACGTACTCAGTGATGAAGAAAAACGTCGCGAGGAAACCTGAATGTCTAAGATATAAAAATTTCGAGGGTTTAAATGCGCTACTTAATCGTCTGAGAGAGGAGACCTGTGCACAGCAGTGAGACATAACTTTTAAAACTGATCACTCATAATATATCAATGTTCTGCACTCACATTGTGATTCCGTCTCTGAATGACCTCCAGAAACAGTGTGGGCCGGTCCTGCGTGTTCTTTGTAAAGATCTGCAACAGATAGCCATTGTCGTCATAGTCTATTAGGATGTTCAGTCGCTCCAGTTCGTCTATGCTCTCGGCGACTCGCACTTTACTATGCTGCAGCCGTTCCCGGATGATGGTGTAGTACTTGGATGGTATGCTGAGGAATTCGACACCTCGGGCGCGGAGGTTCTTGATCTGTATAAAAAAATGCTGGTATTAATGTTTTCAGTCTTATCGATTATCGATCATGGCAACAATTTCCAATAAACATGCCGTGTTTTGTAGCGCCGTAAATATACCCACCAAAGAGTATAGTAAATATATAATACTCCATATCATTCCGTGGATGTCATAAAAGGCGACAGAGAAATGTTACGAAATTGGCAGCATCTTTCTGATAATAATAAAAACAGCAGTTGCCAATCTATTTGCCAAGCCTGGCTACTGGCGCATTTATTTCCACCATAAGACAATCTATAGCGGAAGCTTATATTCAGCAGTAGACTTTTTGAGCTATAATGAATGAATGAATAAAAATTGTTCATGTCAGAAAGATATTACGGCCTCCGACTGGAGCAACCATCTCGTCCAAACTCATAGATTTGACGGCGCCGTATCGCAGTGGCTTAACAATGAATTGCAGCGTTAGGGGCCACGGGTTCGAATCCCGTAAGTATTTGTATCTTTTGCGGGTCTGGATGTTTGTCTTTGTGAAATTTATGTGTATGATCTTGTATGTATGTAAACGTGGGCGCACAACGATACAGGTGAAAGTTCTAGTTTGTAGGTGAAGTTTAAGAACAATAAAAAATATATGTTACAGTTACAGCACAAATTGTACGTGGTAGAGCCATATTGCATGGTATTATAATTGCACACGAATGTGTCGACCCGACCGAGAAGGACCACAAACAATACTCCCATGAAAGAGCGGTAGTGTTTTATTCTCACCGCTGTAATAATATCTTCTGTGTTGATAGCAATGTGTTGTACGCCGGCGCCGCCGTGATACTCCACGTATTCCTGGATCTGACTTTTCTTTTTACCCGGCGCCGGTTCGTTTATGGGCACTTTGACAGTCTCTTCCCAGTTGGCCATCACTATGGACCGCAGCGCGGAGTATTCTGTGCACACTTGTTTGTCGTCTACAGACCAGAACCTGAAATAGTATTATGTCAAAGTCGGATTTTGTCAATTATATCTTAATCTAATAAATGCGCGAATAATAGAGACCATAAAATAAATATGGAGGAAAGAAACTAAGCATTTATGACCTAAAAAATATCGTTTATGGTACAAGAAGGAAGGTGTCTTCTCACTATACCTACTACTACCTACTTTGTACGTGGTAAAGCCATGCTGAACTATATGTATTATGGTTTTAGCACGAGGGAGTTTCTTACTGGAAACGAGGCATTCTATCTTAGTCCTCAGGAGTGACACATCTGCATTTTGATTCTTAATCGATAATAGATGAAGGATATCTATAGGCCACAGCATCCGCTTGCCGTCAGGTGGACTGTATGTTTGCACCCTTATTCAAAAAGAAATAACTAATAGGATCTTAATCTATATTTAAAAGGTACATATACAACTAATAGACAACTTACCAGGTCGGAAAATATATAATTATTAAAGTGGGTTTAACTACCGTTACTGCAACAATATTCAATTCAGTAATGTGTTAAAGTTTATAATTTGTATAATATACAAACGTGAGTAATAGAAATATATAACGTGAATATTCCGTGTTATTAACGTGAATATTAGAAACCATTTGCGTATTAAAATATAAATAAAAACTTTCTAACTGATAAATTTATTTTACCTGTGGAACTGCAGACAGCGTTCATACCAAGACGCAGCTTTCTCCATTCCTTGATCAGGCTGATTTCCCACCACGTGATCCACGAAATTGATCTCTATTTTGGGTCTGTAAGCATTTTTAAGCTTATAATAACTTTTTATACAGGGTTACAGGGTAAGTCGATCTAGATCCTTTAGGGGATTGTAGTTTGCCTCATTTCCGACTGTTTCTACTATGAAACACCATATCCCAAACTTAACCGTTTTCAAGATATGGGATATTTAAGAATTTTATAAAGATTGCCAATTTTTGTCTATTTTACTATTTTTTCTTTTAGTTTGTGCATCTTGTTTTATTTTTATTACAACTTTGTGTAGTAGACAAGTTGCTTTATTATTTTAAACACCAAGATCTTAAATAAACAATCTGGGTCGTAGTAGACGATTGATCGTTGAAAAAAGAAATAAATTTGTAAAGTATTTTTTCTTTGAGGAAAAAAGTCTATGGCAGGTATGTTACAGATGTACAAATATCTACGTTTCTTCAGCTATCCAACAAGTTATAACAATATAGTGTTTAGGACATAAATATGTCCTAAACACTATATTGTATCTGTGTATCTGCAACTTTACTTATTAATTTTACTTAACTTTTCCTTTAAGTATCAGTTAAAATAAACATAAGAAATCCTTTGCTAATTTGTTAGTACAAATCTCATGAATCAAAAATTTAAAGTGGGAATCTGCTTATATAACTGGCAATAATTTAATAATAATGCTTGAAAAAAGCGCTCAACAGTCTTTTGTCGCGCGTGAATAAACCCATGCATATAACGGTGGTCATGCCTGTCCTCATGTATACCTTCGGCGTACTCGGGTGGACTCAGACCGAACTGAAAGCTTTGGATAGAAAAGTCTGGATTGTTATTACGTCCCACAGGATGCATCACCCGAGACATTCAGTAAAGAGGCTGTACTTGCCGTGTCAAACATGGTGGGCGCAGCTTTTTGAGCGCTCTCACCATTCATTCGCAAGGTGTGCAGCCTCCGTAATTACTTCCTGGCACGTCATTTCGTGTGATAAAAAATTACCGTACGTCATTTCCTGTAATAAAGGGCTTACTCCTCTATCCTTAGCCAACGAGCAATGGCAAGACCCAGCAGTGTAGTGCATTTCCGACCGAGAGACCGTATGGAAGGAGAAGGAGCTCCACGGGAGGTTCTATAGGGCTCTACATGAGCCTTTCGTCCATTGGATTTGTTTCGGTAACCTATTTGGGGAAACCGAGGGTTTTGTCTGTGCGATACAGGATCAGGTTATTAAGTATCGGACAACGTAACAACTATCAGAGATACATCCTAAAGAAAGGCGCCTTCGACATCTGTCGAGCTTGTAGCCATCCCGAGTCACATAGGCATATCATCTCCGGTTGTTTCGGCGCTTTCTAACTCTGCAAATTAGAGAGACACAACCTAGTAGCCAGGATTCTGCACCATGTGCTCACTCTGATATACGGTCTCGTGGATCGGAAACTGCCTTATTACAAGTACTTGCCGGAAGCCGTCCTCGAAAATGGCTGCGCCAGGCTTTACTAGGAACGCGCCATCATCACAGAGAGGACTATTCTTGCGAATAAGCCTGATGAACCGCGGTCACAGTCAAGGATATTTTTGGTTGACATTACCATTCCTTGTGACGAGAACCTTGTGAAAGCCGAAAGCCAAAGCAGACAAAATATCTGAAACTGACTCACAAGGTAATCGACATGTGGGGTGGTCTCTGAACAAAAATATTCCTGTGGTCGTTTCTGCGAAGGGGATAATCCTGGTCAGCCTCTCAGGTCATCTGAGGTGACTGGGACTCCGTGACGGACCGCTCCGGGTTCAAATGCAGAAGTCACGAGAAAACTGTGCTTCCCGATACCGCCCGCATCGTCCGCCGGTTTCTTTCCCTCTCCCCCTAACCCGTTTGGTCGTTTGGTCTCCCCTGCCGAGGGCTTCCATCTGATTGGGTTTTTATTCATTTATGTATTTATTTTATTGATGTTTATGTATATTTCTTATCTTCATTTATATATTTATACAGTCTAACCAGATGAGATAAGTATATAAATACCTCATAATAATAATAATACGAGTAAAAAATTATTGAATTATTTATTTATGTTAGTATATTTAATGTATATTTATCATTTTATTTTCAATATTTTTTCAGCCCAGCCAGCTGAGAATGCTCTTTAACACTCTATAAATATTATATATGATAAGAATAATAATAAATGATTTTATTTCAGATTTAAACTGTCCATACTTTGATAGTAACAAGAATAAACTTTCAGAATAACCTTTTAAGCATTGCGCTTTTTTAAGTATGCACAAAATGTTTTTCTTAAACGCTTTTCTTTTCTGAGGCTTAAACGGTAAAAGAGACTTTAAAGCACACGTTGGGTTTATACTTTTGAAATACGATATATTATGGCACGAGTTTGTCGGCGTGTAGGGGCGGAGTAAGAAAATCCATAATTCAGAAGGAAACTGAAGCAAGAGATGGGCGGCAGCTCCTTCTTGATAACAACTCAACTTGGACTCAGTGAAGAGACGGCTAAGAGGCTCATTGGTAACCTTGATTTGGTTGAAACCAACCTTGTCAGCCTCGAGCGGAGGCGCAGAGTAGCCAGCCTATCGGTATTCTATAGGATGCATTTCGGTGAGTGTGCGCAGGAATTACACGCTTCAATTCCTCCCTCTCCTTTCCACCATCGGACAACCAGACGATCCACTCGTCTTCACCCTTCCTTGTCGATATTCTACGCATTAGAACCAAACGGTTTGCTTCTTCTTTAGTAATGCGTACAGCACAATACCGTCCGAATACAATCTGGGCGTCTTCAAGGAAGAGTGAATAGGCTTTTGTTACGCTAATACAGTGCGATTTACCATCTCAGGCTGCCTCACCACTTACCACCAGGTGGGATTGTGGTCAAGAACTGGCTTATAATAAGTAAAAAAATGAAAGATGCGACTGCCAACTGCTAAACCAAGTGTGACAAATGTTTTCACTATGTAGGTACAGAAGTGGACTTTGAGATGGACAGAATGAGATGATTGTGTCTAGGGTTTGGGTCCCGGGACGTCTCGTGTCTCGAAGTCCCGGGACTTTTCGTAATTTTAGTTGTCTCGAGTCTCGGGACTTTTAGGTCGAGACTTGAGACGAGACAAGATTGTCGAAATTGTTATGTAATCATTTTTATTTTCAAATAATTGAAGGAGCCTGGCACCATCTGTTGGTTTAATGAGTAATTACTCGGTCTTCTACATAACTACTGAGTACACAACACAATAAATGTGTAGTTGTTGTTGTTTGACGTTATTAAAATTGGTATGATTTTTAATTAAGTTCGTATTATAACTATAAGATTTATCTGTTTAAAAGTGGCGGTTTTAGGGAAAAAGAGAGTTCTCTATGCTGCCCGTTGCTCCACTCAGTTGTAGGTTTCCTCCCAATGGTTTTGATTAGCGCCGAGCACTTAGTAAATAAGAACAACTTTACGAATGTGGAGATTGAATTTGTGTGTGATTAAAAGAAATAAACAAAGCAATTATTAAGACTGAAATTAACTTTAAACTTATTAAGATTAAATTTTCTGTTTAATAAATGTTGATTTTTACAAAAACAATGCCTTTATAATATGTTTCATAAGGAAATAACTCAATTAAATTTCTTCAAAAAAAGGCTTAGCTCTATTATTTTTTTTTCTTAAGTCTTGAAGTCCCGGAAATTCGCGGGACTTTGATTGTTGGCTATCTCGTGTCCCGGGACTTTGAAATTGTCGGGAATTCCCAAACCCTAATTGTGTCGCTTGAAGACCAACGTTACCGTAACATTTATTTCCCTTGCTTATAATCGTATAAAGTCGCTTAATTTACTTAAGGATGAATTCTCTCCATACTTGTCTTTCTATTGTTATTTAGTTAAGAAAGACAGAGAGAGAAAGAGAGAGAGAGATAGAGAGAGAGACCATATTAAGCATTTCTTGAATTAACGGCGATTTTCTGAGTATCCTTTTAATTAAAGGGACCAATAGGTGGTATAAAATTGGTCACATAAAATTGGACTATTAAACTAGTAAGTTTAATAGTTTAAATAATAAGGAACGTACAAGCACTACGTCCATGAAATCCATCGTGAAAATAACCATTCACCCATGTTTTAACGGCAGTTCATCTACGTCCCCCATCCATTACGCCCTATGCTATGGCAAATATCCCCCCTTATGAAGCAATTTATGGGGTATACTCATATTCTTCAGTGAACTTTTATAATAAGCCGTTATAAAACGAAATGGATGTAACTTTGCTTTTAGTTTGCTTTACTTACTAGTTATGCTTTTAATATTCAACTAAACTAGGAATGCTTCTCAAGCTATGGCCCAAACTAGCGATCCGGACCAGCTTTGCATATCTCAAGATATCGACAAGAGCGCCACCTATCGAGTCCAAATATGAATATAAAACCATCTAGGGACCCATTCAAACACAAACAAAAAATTTCATCAAAATCGGTTGGGTGATATCAGTCGGTTGCGGACATAGGTAAAAACATTTTTGTGTGTTATATGGATAGATAGATATATAGATTAAGCACTTATTGTTTAAGCGGCTAAGATAAAAGAAGCTACGATACTTACAAAAATTTGTTGATAGCGTCCTGGGTGAGTAGCGCGTAACCCGGCAGGAATGATCCTGTATACTTTGAGCGATCTACCAACGTGTGGGTATTATCGCCATACTGCAAACATAATATATAGGTACATTTTTACAATTAAACATATGATATATATATATATATATATATATATATATATATATATATATATATATATATATATATATATATATATATATATATACACATTTTCTTTTTTCCCAAGCAGTCTTTTTTTTTATAGAATGTGGGTGACAAACGATCTCACAGTGCACCTTTCGATGGTAAGTGGATGTTGCAGCCTATAGATATCTACATTTGTCTTCGATCAAGAATCAAAATGTGGATGCGTTGTCACCCGTGAGGACTAAGATGGAAAGCCTCGTTTCCAGTAAAAAGGGTCTCCGGTTCTCTACACTCACCATACGTAACAGCATTAAGCTGCTATTTTACGGTGGCATCCTGTGAGAGCGTGGTCCTGCCTTGGTCGAGCCGACCCATTCATGCTACAAAAACACAATATAGCTGCAGCGTGGCTCTACCACCACCTCTTTCTGTGTAGGTACCATTCTATTACCTCTTTCTGCCATCATAGCAGTGCTTGCACCGTGTTCCGGTGGTAGAGGTATAGGGAGGCGGTATGATTTCTGGCTGTGAGGTTTCCGTCTTAGTCATCAGAGGTGTCGCATCTGTAGCGATATTTGATTGAAGTTTGCTGCTGGTGTCGATGGACTGCAATGCCACTTACAGGTTATGTCAAAAATATGTTATAATGCGGTATTTTTTTTAAATTACTAAATGTTGACTAATATTTGACACCACATTTTATAGTAAATGTGACATTTTATTTCGAATATTATAAGAAATTATTTTGCGTAACTTTGGCAAGAATCGTTAGCCTGTGGGAACCACTGCTAAACATACATAGGTCCCCCACCATATGGACTGCCACATAAGGCGGAAAACTAAACAGGATATCAATATTTAAAAAAAAACATCTGTCCATATTGTTGATACATTTCCACAATATAATGAAATCAAACGTTAAATGTCAAAACATAACCAATCACGATTCTCACCATAGTGACACAACCATGCTGTGGATCTGTTCATAAGAATAACGGACAGTAGCCTCATTGGAAAATTAAAAGATTTGGGTTTGAATCTACCATCCTAGTATTGTCCTGAACCACTAATAAGACAAATATTTTACGCTTATTTAAATTGGTTTACGAGAATATTGGTATACGGGAATATGTCAATACTATTCGGCTTCGAATTTAATGAGTCCGTTACTAGTTTTGTTAATCTGGGTGCCTGATCACCTAATTTTTTGAGTAAAAGCCCTGGTGATCGGATACTCAGATTCTCGATAAGGATGATAAACAAGCATACAGTCCACCTGACGATAAGTGGATGCCATGGCCCACAGACATCTACATCTATCTTCGATTAAGAATCAAAATGCAGGTGTAAAGAACTGGAGACCCTTTTTTACTGGAATCGAGGCATTCCATCTGAGTCCTCAGGGGTATTACACCGCATTTGCATTTTGATCTTTAGTTGAGGATAAATGTGGATGTCGATGGGCCACGTCGTCCACTTACCATCAGGTGGACTGTGTGCTCGTTTGTCACCCAATGCTATTAAAAAAAATATGTTGATTTGTTTGATACATTAATGTATCACAGATTTTGTTTTTAGCTTAAAGCTTTTAATGCTATGGTGTTTTATCACCTATTCAACGGTTTTCAACCACATATATTTTTACTTAAAATTTTGTTCATTCTAGCTTCGAATTTATTTGACAAAGTCTAATTTTGCTTGTTTTTGATGGATCTTTTGGGACAAATATTTATTTGTGCTAAGTTCGCTAATGAACTCAATTTGTTAACTTGTTTTCGTGTATACTTTGGTATTTTTAAAATTTGCAATACCTACCGTTTTGAGCGTAGCCATTCTAACCACGCCGTGCTCATCCTTCTCTTCCCACAAGTCTCTAACCACAACAGCCCCTTGTTTCTTCGCATAGTCGAGGATATAGTCCAAGTTCTCCACTTGAAAGGCCACGTCTTTCACGAAGTCTCCATGGCACCCAACTTCCTTCGCCATCTCTGTATCAACAGGTTCATACTGAGCTTGGAATACGAACACAATCTGGAAAACGTATTCGAATTGTTATATTCAAATTGCTGGCATTACGTAAAAGCAGTCGTGTTCTCTCCGTGGGAGAATCCACTTCCTCCATACCATCCCGTGGGTTTCGCAAGAGGCGATAAACGAGGAGGAAGAGGAGTTATGCAGCAGCATCTTACTAAAAACAACTATCTGCCAAGCGTGCCACCTATCCCTAAGAGGCAAATTATGTGCGAGGCCAATGTTCAAGAGTGGACTTTGATAGGCCGTGATGATGATCCTGATGACCAAACATTTTAAAATTGCTGTCTCTATTACATAACTAGAATTTTTCCTGTATCGTGAGGGCGTTTGTGAAATTAATGTCTGAATGTAAGACATCCAGAGCAGGATCAATTATGTGTAAGTCATAAATAACTTGTTCAGAGCGGGATACGAACCTGCGGCGCGCAGTGCTGCAATCAATATATAAACTTTAGTTCAGTTCACCTGCATCTGACTCCATAAGTAGTCACTGCAGTATATGTTAGTAGTCTATGAGATATTCCATGTTAGCGAAGACTAACATGGAATGTCTCATACACTGTAATTTTACCGCTTTAGGGTATTCAGACCGGGACACGACAGTGTAATCATTGATATTTTGCGACAGAAATACGTGACGAGTAAATGCAGGGAATAGAGTGAATGGGGCTATTATTATTTTATTATTATTATTATATTACTCTATTGTGAAGAACCAGAATGTATCAAAAAAGGCACTGTAATCATAATGCTGTTAGTCCCTATTTTGTATGGTAGTGAAAGCTGGGTGTGGCAGAAGAAGCACGAAAGTAGAATAAATGCTGTAGAAATGCGGTCTTTAAGGAGTATGTTAGGGTTGAATCTGAATGACAGGGTGAGATATTGCGTGATAAGAGATAAATGTGGTATGCAAGATGATGTTGTGACCAGGATTAAGAAAGGAATGCTTCGGTGGTTTGGTCACGTAGAAAGAATGAATGAGGAAAGAGTGACAAAGCAAATTTATATGGCAGATGTGAACGGCAGAGTCGGGAAGGGACGCCCTAGAAAAAAGTTTATCGACCAAATTGGCGATATTTTGAAAATGGGCCACGTTAAAAGTACCCTTAACCGACGAGCATGTATGCGTAGATATATGGATGTAAAGGAGGCGAAAGAGGTATGTCAGGATCGTGTCAAATGGAAGTCCGTAGTCTCTGCCTACCCCTCTGGGTGACAGGCGTGAGTGTTTATGAATCATGAAAAAAATAGGTATTAGAGTGTAATATAGAGGGACTCCTAGGTAGGAAAGGAATCTTATCACCTGGTGTTGTCCCCATTATCTATCTTGGGATTTGGATCGTTTTTACCGATGCCTCCTTCCTCGGTAAGCACCGTGTTCGGATGAGGTTTTTATTTATTTAAAAAACTAACAGCGATTTAACAATTGTAACGACTAAAGTATACAGCTTAAATGTAAGGCCTATTAAAGGTTTTTCAGTTTACTAAACACAATAATATATTATGGACGTTACTATTTAACTATTATATGGATTTATTATGATATGTATATACTAATCTAGTTATATCTCTTCACAGATGTGTATGTATTGACTAATTATTTATACTAATTATACTTTTGTATATGTGTATGAGGATGTAATATTTATATTATATATTTCTCTGCAAAATGTTTAAATGTAGTTAAATATCAACATGTTTTTATATAATTTAATGAAATATCACATCTGTTTATTTATTTATTTTACAATACTGTAATACTGTTATATTTATGTCAAATTTTCACCACTAATGCCATAAAGGATAAACAATTCAATTAAGAAATGTTTATATTAAATGATTCAAAGTATGAATTTATTTTCATATTATAATTGTGTTGATTTATGTTGATTTACTATTTATTTATTTTTGTGTAGGGAGCCCCACTAGATGAAGTGACGACCTGGTAAGACATGCAAGAAGTCGACGGACGCATGCGGCCCACCGTGCCCTTTGGCATTCTTATGTTATGTGTACAAAAATCGAACTCCCCCAGGATCGGATTTTTCCTCCGAAACGGAATCCTACCATCTAGTAACATACAATCCTTCATATTATACATTGAAATATTTAACTTCACAAATAAAATACTGGTTTTACATGTTTAATAATATTTTATTACGTTTTCGTAATAATAATGCGCATATATTAGATTCGTTTGACACGATATACCCACCTTGTTCAACCTGACGGCGTGCGAGGCGATTTTTCTCGAACCTGTCTCTAATCCTTTATACGCGAGCGGTTCGAATCCGAATCTCGTGACATAGTAACTTGCCGCCTGAAATTAGATCTCAATGTAATTGTTTCAAGTTTCTGTTTATTTAGTTTAGTTAATCTCAAATTATTTTCACATGACAATAATTAATAGTCATGTGATTTGGTTGACCGTACGGTGTAAGTATATCCAGTACCCCATATAGTACCGAGGGTATCGTAATAGGCCACATCTTTCTGATAATAACTCAAAATAATAAAAACTGCCAAGCGCAAGCAGGATGGCAACCGCAGTTTTTAAATGGCAACTTTAAAGCAGTAGACTTTTATAGGCTGTAATGGATGGATTTGGTTGAAATTAATATGAGATCTCTTGAAAGTATTCTCTTTTGAAAAGGAAGAACCGTTACAATATGAGGTAGGTATATGGTTATGTGCATTAAAAATGTAGTCGAATTGATAACTATATCCTTTTATGACCTGGTAAGAAGTGCAAGAAGTGGATGGATGCAGGTAGCTCAGGAGGCTGTGGGGGAAGCCTATCTTCAGCAGTGAACGTGGTGAAGGGCTGTAAAGAGAATGATGATGATTTTTTTGTAGAAGAGGGCGCAGCGAGCATGCGGTTCACCTAATGGATGTCACTACCGCCGTCCTTGATCAACTGCAACACAAGTTTGTTCTGGTACTCGGCAAGGTTTCCCCGAGAAATATTGGCACGGCCGGTGTATAAAGCATCGCCAGTGTTGTTGTCCGCATAGCAATTAATGTTACGGGTTTGCAACATATCATTGATATGCAGAAGAAACAGCGTTGGTGACATCAGAGCATGCACCGTCTACTACGACCAACGCCTCCCTCTCATTCATCGTCACTAATCAGCTGGTGCTTCTCAAGGTACCGAATGAGTTGGCTGTTAATAATGGACTCCATTATTTTGGAGAACAAGGAGGTTATGGCAATAGGCATGTAATGGGACGGATCAGAGCGGTTACCTTTTTTAGGGATCGGGTGCGTAAATTCGGTGCATGAATTCGGGACTATTTCTTGAGCAGGACTACCGGAGAAGACGCGTTAGAACCGGTGCCAATTTTGGAGCACACGTCCTCAGCACATATGGGGGTATTCAGTCAAGCCCAATCGACTTGTGGACGTCCGGGGACAGGAATACTTTACGTACTTAGCACCGTGTGAATCACACATCAGGCATAGAGGACTCACACTGCGGGACTAGTACTACTACTAGTATATAGTATCGAGCTGTCATTAAATTTTTATTTTTGAAAGGCAATACGCCTACGCAAATCAAAAATGGGTTGGACTCTGTGTATGGGGACTCTGCACCATCATTTACCACAGTGAAATTTGGGCAGCTGAATTAAACCGTGAATTTAGGCCGTGAGAGCTTGTGAGACGATGAACGTTCGGGACGTCCAAAAACTGAAACTATTGACGATAACATCGCTAAAGTTCAACAAAAGAGCTAGACGACCGCCGAATTAAAGTGAGAGAAATAGTAGATGCTATGATGATGTAGTTTAGGCCCAATAAATCTGAGTTTTGGCACCGATTAATTACTGTAGATTAAACTTGGATACACCATTATTTGCCAGATACAAAAATACATTCAAAACAGTTGACTGCAAATAGGAACCGGCTTCAAAAAAAGCAAAATCTGGAAAAGTGATGAAAATTTTTTTTGGGATAGTCATGGCGTTATGTTAATCGATTATCTGCAAAAAGGAAAAACCATCACAGGAGTATACCACGCATCATTATTTGAGAAACTGAAGGCAGAAATTGCGAAAAAATGGCCATATTTATAGGAAAAGAAAATCTTGATTCACCATGACTACGCGATGTCTTAAACCTCAGCGGTTGCCATGGTGAAAATCCACGATTTACGGTTTGAACTGCTTAACCGATCCGCCTTACTCACCAGATCTAGCCTTAAGCGACTTGTTTTTGTTTCCTCATCTAAAAATTGCCCTCCGAGCGCAGAAATTTTCGTCAAATGAGGAAGTAATTACCTTCATGAACAAATATTTTGCAGACGAAAACGCCGAGTACTACTAAGTGTGTAGAGTAATAAGGAGGCTATGTAGAAAAATAAAAATGAATTGTAAGAAAAATATCTTGTATCTTCGATAGGTCAGAAACTTCGAGCAACAAATGTCTTGAATATAATAGATTCGTTTGTAATGAAATTTAAAGACAATATTGCGTTTATTAATTTTGTGTTTACGGTCTATAAACGTCCTCCTCAATAAAAATCTCCACTGTCCGTGGATACTAGGACTAAAGTCGAATATCACGACCTAACATCTGTAGACATTAAATTCACTAGCAACCATCAAAATGAAAATATTTTTTTTTACGTCAAAATTGAAAATTCCCTTTATTTTTCAATGAAAAATTATAACACCTGGTTGAAGTTTGGCTATGTTTGTTGAATTAGCATACAAATGAATTATGAATTGAGTTGTCACTTGTAATAGAAAGTAGATCCTGCATGTTAACCGGAAATGTTCGTTGCAATGGTTGAACACAAAAGGAGTCAAAAGAAGCTGCTTTGACCGATCTCCTGCCTAACAATCTGCCTACGAATATTGACGAGAATTTCAAATGATAGTGAACTAATAATAGTGAAATAATTTATTTTATAAAAGCTTGTTATAGTTCTTGCAATTGACGAGTACGGTAGACCTTTGGATGTTTATATGCACAGTGTGACAGTGTGCGTGCCTGGCGGAGCGGTCAGTCGCAAGCGAGCGCTGCACACTCTCACACTGTGCATGAAAATGTCAAACCATATTCAAAGGTCGACCGCACTCTGTGAATTGCAACACAGTCCACCTGATGGGAAGTGGATGCTGTGGCTCATAGAAATCGACATTTATCTTCAATTAAAGAATCAAAATGCAGGTGCGTTAGCACCCCTGAGGGCTAAGATGGAATAATTGATAGAATCAGGCGTTACTTTGCGGAAATCCATTATAATAAAAAATAAAAATATAAATTTCTTTGCAACTTTCCGCTAAATATATAAAATGATGTGTCTTACCTGGATTGAAGCGCACCTCCCGCCCTCCCTCAATTGCATACACTAACTCCGTCACCACTAGACCAAGCACCACTACTCTCAACATCACTATTCCAGGCAAGACACACCATCGACGATAATACGACACGTGTTTCGCCTCTACACGAGGCATCCTCAGGTAATATAGACTCTACGGCGGCTGACCGCTAAGTGACGGAGTTAGTGTATGCAATTGAGGGAGGGCGGGAGGTGCGCTTCAATCCAGGTAAGACACATCATTTTATATGATTAGCGGAAAGTTGCAAAGAAATTTATATTTTTATTTTTTATTACTAAGATGGAATTTCTCGTTTCCAGTAAAAAAAGGTCACCGGTTCTCTACACTCATCATACGAAACATAGCAGCATAAAGCTGCTATTTTACGCTGATATTCTGTGAGAGCGTGGTCCTTTCCCGATCGAGCCGATCCATACGCGTTACAACCATAATATAGCTGCAGGGTGGCTCTACCATGTCTAAGCAACTCTGTTTCGGTTCTGTTTACTGTTAAGGGCTGACACGACTAGGCTCAACGGATTTGACTGCCTTGTTGGCACAGTGGTCGTGAGCGCGAGTGATGGTCCCGGGTATGATGTATGGGGCCAAAATCAATTACTTATTTGATTTTTCTATCAAAAACTTCGCAGAAGCTTCCCGGTAATCAGGAAGTTGGCAATAATTCATATCCGTGCCTCGAAAAAAGTGAAGCCGTTGGTCCTGTGCCTGATTTTTCTCCGATCGTGGTGGTTTGCATTCCCATCGGACTATGAGAGTAAAGTAATAGAGAATGCACCTGTGCTTGCGCGCACACACCTGCACTATAACCCTGTCTTATGCAGATGGCTAGTCTTCATTGAAACTGGCCGCTGTGACCGAAATTCCATCCGATAGACATTATTAAAAGCAGACGAATTCGATCTGGACTCCCAATTCAACTGGTACTCCTATTATTGGAAAAGAATTGAACTAAATAATAATAATAGATATGAAACTTACCTGTTTCGCGTTAGAAACCCAGAAGGTCAGGTGGTCGAACGCCAAGAACCGACCGTCGGCTGGTTTCCGACCTTTTTCCGTATACGAAGTCTATGGAAAAAGTTTATGTAATATAAGCATTTGCGTCTGTATTTTGGCGCTTATACAAACTTAAAGGCAATATGTAAATACTTTTACACAACAAATATTTTCAAGGTTGGTTAAAATTGGTCTGATGAAATGTTCAAATATTTTTTTATATAGGTGTAGTGTCGTGAAGCCCCCACGACATTATTACACATTATTAGTGTTAAAGTAGAATAATTTTAGAGTAGTCTAATTAAAGGTCAAGATAGAACAATACGTCTAAATAGAACGATAGGTATTCGTCTACGATATGAAAGTAAAATAAAGAAATAAACAGCTGTTGTACTCCAGTTAGCATCGTCCAGAAGAATATAAAGATTAAACCGAAAAGAACAAAGAAGAAATTAAAAGGTAACATCGTACCAGCTTGATTTTTAATTATGTATATTTAAAACTTTATTACTTTAAGATTTATTTAAGGTTGGTTTTGCTGTTATGTATATTAAAAAAAAATATGTATTACATGTTCTGTATTTAATATAAGAAATTCAAATTATTAGATTTTTCACGATTCAAATGAAATTTTAAATATTTTTATTAATGTATATAAAAAATACTTCATTATATTTTTTTAAATTAAGCTACATTTTAAGCTTATGTGGCATGTTTATATTCACAAGAATATTTTAAATTCACTTTCATTTAGTTATAGTTTTATTTTATTTTTTACAATGTTCTCCAAAAACTAATAAAATAATACGATAGATTATATTTTTAAGTAAGTACTTAAATTTACCTTTATATCATTAATTCATTAGCACCAAGTAGAATTGAAGTCAAGTACTAGCATCATCATTCACGCAACATCTGGATTGTGTGCTCGACGCATAATTCATGATTTTAAAAGTCTTATTTAAATGTCTTCTTGTGAAGTGTCAAATAGTAGTAAATGTGGGAAGTATCACTTAAACTGATACGATTCTACGGAGAACACTGTCCAAGGAAAATACATGCAGCTATTTACCAAATTATCTTATTAGGTAGTCAAAATTATAGCAATCTGATTGATTATGAAAAAACCCTAAAACGTAATAAAATTATTTATGTCATTAATGTTAATATAATATTTAACTATAAGAGCTTTTTTCTAAGTTGTTCTCTACTTACCATTTTATATCCTTATCACGTAATATATACTAAAATATTTTGTTAATCAAAATAAGTGTTCTTGACACTAATCACAATGAGATAACTGAAAGAAAATGTCCTCCATTGGGTTTATATTAGTGTCGGAAATCTGGATTATATAGCTTCGTATATGCGTTTTACAAGAAAACAATGTAAAGGCGGGTTTACACCTGAGACACGGCTCCTATGAGCTACCATCAAAAAAAAAAAACTGCGAGGAATTGCTGAATTGAGCGAGTAAAATTTTTAATCGAGTGCTATGTAAGTAAATTACATATTATAAAATGGATATATATCTAGCAAATAAAATTATATATTTGTTTGTTCGTCTGCTATGCGTTCCTATATCACTTATTTGATTTGATTACGATAATTTTATTGTGAGCTTTGCACGAATCCTCGAAGGTTTCTGAGGCTAGCGCCAAACTCAGCTTAAAATTGTGTAAAAATTTCCAACATAGTGATTGTAATATACCCTTTGGTAGTTCATATAAACAATTATAGTAAAAAGACCTTTTTTGTAATAATATCTTACTTAAGGTATTATTACAAAAAAGAATAAATTAATAAGTTATAACATATTTAAGTAACAAGTTATAACATATTATTATTGGTGCCACCATAATAAAAAAATGCTGCTGTTGCGAAAATCAGCAAAATATCCGACGCAATCGCACTTCTGTATACGTGCTGGTAAAATTATAAGAAAAATAACTTGCAAGATTATAGCCCTCCGTGCCAAGCGTGGCAACTATGCCAAATATGCCTCCTATGAGGCAATTTGTTCTGTTATGTGGTATACCTATTGTTACGCGCTCCAGTCAACGATACACTAGCGCCATCTAGTGTCAGGAACGAGAGCGAGGGGGAGCATTGAGAAAATAACATCACAAATTACTCAACCGACAGCGCCTAGTCGAAACTCGAACGCTCGGTACCTTGCCCGTGTTTACTTGAACATTCTGGATATTTCTTTGCTAATTTAAATATATAGGCGCTGCAAGATGCGAGCGAGGCAGTGTTGATTTGGGCGAAACAAGCGAAGCTTCGGAGTGGAATTAAGTGAATTAGTGTGTTTAAATTATTAGTGTTTTAACTTTAATTGTGCAAAGTAAATTAAAGTGTTAATTTAGGTAATTTTATCGGCAATTTTTATTGTCACGAACCTCAAGCTCGTAACAATTGGTGTCAGAAGTGGGATTAAATCATGCCGATTTTACCTAAGGAGGAAACGGAGGGTGTCCGTACCCGAAGTCAACGCCAGCAGGAGACGGACCAGAGGAGATTTGGTGGTGCAACGCCGCAGACGTCGGAGGGCCAACGGCCAGCCACGGAGGTTGCGGGCCCGGCAGTAGCTCCTACACCTGCAGCACCTGACTTAGGTGCTCTGATGGCGATGCTACAGGAGCAGCTGCAGCGCGGACGAGAGGAACAGGCCCGTCTGTTGAAAGAGCAGCAGAAAGAACAGGCTCGCCGACAGGAGGAACAGGTCCGTCAGTTGAAAGAGCAGCTGCAGAGCGGACAGGAGGAACAGGCCCGCCGATTGGAAGAGCAGCTGAGGGGCGGACAGGAGGAACAGGCCCGCCGGCAGGAGGAACAGGTCCGCCGACAGGAGGAACAGGCCCGTCGTTTAGAAGATCAACTTCAACGCGATAAGGAAGAGCAGATGCTCCTCATGAAGGACCTGCACGCTATCTTCGGAAAAGAGATACGGGAGGTGAAGGATAAGGTTGCTCAACATGACAACCGCCTGTCGGAGGCCGAAACCCGAATCGACCAAGTAAACAATCGGGTTGACAACGTAATGGCTGACGTGAAGAAAACGCTGGACGACCTCAAACTTGGGGATGGAACAACAGCTCCCGTAGTAGCTACAACACCTTCGCTACGTGGATTCAAAGTGCCGCCGTTCGACGGGACCTCTTCCTGGTCGTCCTACAAAATCCAGTTCGAGGCCGTCATGGAGGCAAACGGCTGGAATAAAAGCCAGGCCATGACTGCACTCACCTTAGGCCTGCGCGACCAAGCCTTAACTGTGTTGGAAGCTCTCGGTAAGAAAGTGACCTACGAGCAGCTCCTTGAGGCATTGGAGGCGAGATATGGCGACGCTCACCTGGAACACGTCTTTCGTGCGCAACTTAAAGATCGTGTGCAGCGCATCAACGAAAACCTGCAGCAGTGGGCTCTAGAAGTGGAGAAGCTGGTGCGAAAAGCTTACCGGTCTGTACCTGCGCTCATTAAAGGGAATCTGGTGCAGACATTTATCGACGGCATCCGTGACCTGGAAGTCAGAGCTGCTGTGAGGCTCGGGCACCACGAGACGCTTAAGGACGCCTTGGCCCATGCACTGGAGGTAGAAGCCGTGCGGCAGGATCATCGTTCTCATCGCGTCAGGGAGGTTGCAGCCGCTACAGTTCACGACCGCAACAAAGGATACAGCCCTAGGTGCTATGTGTGCTATGCTATGTGGGGAAAAAGGCCATCTTCGAATCAGCTGCCCTAAGCGAACCGTGGAAAGGAGAGTTGATCGATCTCGAGAGGGTAGTGCAGCTAACGACACTGCCTGGCGGCGACAGGATCATCGTTCACCTCACGCTAGGGGAGGTTACAGCAGTTACGGTTCGCGACCACAATAAAAAATACAGCCCTAGGTGCTATGGCTGTGGGGAAAGGGGCCATCTTCGGTCCAGCTACCCTGAGCGCACCCTACGAAGGGAAGGTGAACGGTCTCAGAAAGGAAGTGCGGCTAACAGCACCGCCCAGCAGCAGCAGGAATACGACTTTACTATCAGACACTGCAGCGGGAAATCTCACGGCAACGCAGATGCATTGTCAAGAAGACCTTGTCCTGAAGATTGCAACCATTGTAGTAGGCAAGAGAGTAAGGAGGTGGTATCCGTGAGGATGCTCAGGACAGACCACCTCAGCAACGGGTGGAAGGACAACCTACGACATGCACAGCAGGAAGATCCGGACATCAAGCCGATTCTGGAATGGATGAAGGCCCGTGATACCAAGCCTAAGTGGAGGGACGTCTCAGCGATGAGTTCAACCACGAAAAGCTATTGGGCCCAATGGGACAGCTTGCTGATTCAGGATGGAGTCCTGTGCCGTAAATGGGACAATGGTCGAAGAGACAGCTGTCGTTTGCAAATGGTTGTCCCTAAAGCTAAAGTGCCGAATGTTCTACAGTTGTGCCATAATGGTCGTTCAATAGTCCATCTGGGAGTTAAACGAACTCTACTGAAGGTCCGAGAACAGTTTTACTGGGTCCATTATCGTGACGATGTCGAGGATTGGTGTCGTACATGTACAAGTTGTGCGGCCGAGCGGGGACCTCGGACACGTAGTAGAGGAGCACCGAAATTGTACAATGTTGGTGCACCACGGGATAGGACAGCCCTTGACATTGCGGAGCCGTTACAGAAAGGCGCAAGAGGGACTCCTAAGATCGTCCATGTGAATCGCTTGGCGCGTTATTATGGGGCCGATAATGCTCGGGACGAGCATGTCTTAGGGGGGGGCAGTGTTACGCGCTCCAGTCAACGATACACTAGCGCCATCTAGTGTCAGGAACGAGAGCGAGGGGAGCATTGAGAAAATGACATCACAAATTACTCAACCGACAGCGCCTAGTCGAAACTCGAACGCTCGGTACCTTGCCCGTGTTTACTTGAACATTCTGGATATTTCTTTGCTAATTTAAATATATAGGCGCTGCAAGATGCGAGCGAGGCAGTGTTGATTTGGGCGAAACAAGCGAAGCTTCGGAGTGGAATTAAGTGAATTAGTGTGTTTAAATTATTAGTGTTTTAACTTTAATTGTGCAAAGTAAATTAAAGTGTTAATTTAGGTAATTTTATCGGCAATTTTTATTGTCACGAACCTCAAGCTCGTAACACTATGTTTAGCAGTGTACTTTAATAGACTGTACGGTAACGGTAGTAATATTATAACTGTAATTAAATTTAAAGATGAAATTCTTATAAGCATAAAATTAATGCTAATTTAAAAAAAATCATTTTTTTTTGGTTCAATTTGTCCGTGAAAATTCTGGGGAAAATGTCGGCTGCAAAAAAATTATACATTCAATTTGATGCAATTGAAATTATTATAATGAAATAATAAAAAAATCGGTCGAAAAATCAAGAATAAAAAAATAATACTTCTCCTACGATTACTGCAGTTTAATCTTAAACTAAACACATATTCGTGCTATAAAAATAAATTTAAATTGGAGCCTGTATCAATAAAAATTCTTCCCATTTTTATTTAAAATGTTATAAAGAAAAAATACTAACTGTGTAGTGGTGGTGTTGAATATCCGATAGAGAAACAAATCAGAAGATGGGCAACAGCGTCTTTTTAATAAGGACCAAAAGTAAAATAAATAATGTGGTTGCCAACCAGTTTGCCAAGCGTGGCATCTATGGCGAATATCCTCTCTTAGAACTTAGTGTAACTGTTTTGTTAAAGTAACTATAAATTTACATATACCATGGCATATATATTTATATATTATTTAAAGATTAATTTATTTACTGTTATTCTGTCAAAAAATTCCTGAGAGTGATATGAGTTGAAAGTAGCTTAGACTTAGGAAATCGGCGTTCTTTCAACCGCGTGCCTCGGAAAGCAAGTAAAGCCTTGATTCCTGTGCAATGATTTCTCTCCGGTTGTGCCGGTTCGCCGTCACATCGGGCTGTGTTTTAATGCTAAATTTGTAAAAGAACTTTCTCTTCTTCATCACGGCCAGTAAAAGTTAGCTGGATATGGATCTCTCCCGTTATATATAGGCTTCGCCTTAATTGCCCAATCCCTTATGGCTTATTGCCAACCGCAAGCTAGCTATACATAGACAAGAATTTTCTGACATCACTCACATGCGCCTTTTACTTTTTAAATCTAGTTAATAATATATAGTGAATAAATATTTTGACAAATTAGCAAATTGAATGAATTCGGATAGTCTAAAAGTAGCTTAAGTTTGCTTCGCACTTGGAAGTGATGTCGTAGCAAGGTGTCTCGTCTAACCAGTTAATGCCGAGCCCCCACGACACGAGTAATTCGAAGTCGCACGCTATTGTGGGATACAAAAATAGTTTTAGAAAAAGCCTTTACTGCTAAATAAACGGTTATGTTACTATTACACCGATTTTGCAAGCAAATCAATGGAAAACATTAAAATATAACCTCTTATAGTAATAGTTATTGTTAAGGGTTAAATTTCCAAATAATACGCCTACGAAATCATAAAATAGTACGAGTGGTGGCACGTAAGAGTTTAGGGCTCAGGATTTAATAAATTCCAGAAAAGTAACTCCGACTAGAGAACCAAACCAATAACTCAACTAAAACAAGTATAATTACTTGTTTTTGAGTATATTGGTTTGATTGAGGAAAAGCGACTACGACCCCAGGCGTCTAGTCACTATCAAAATGTGGCTCAAACTTGCCACTTCATATTATTGCCTACGCCCTATATTATCTTATTGGTGTCGTAAAAAGAAACAAAGAGAAACTAAAATGGCAATGGCAGCATCTTCCTGATAACAACTCAAAATAATAAAAGAACTGACGTTGCCAACCCGGCTGCCACACGTAACAAGTATGGCCAATATTTTGAGTCAATCGGGAAGACCTATCTTAAGCAGTGGATTTCGATAAGCTGTAATGATTTTTTTACTTTTTTATTGGCGATTTTATAGCCAGTGTTTTTATAGCCAGAGATTTTATAACCAGAGTTTTTATAGCCAGCGTCTTTATAGCCAGTGTTTTTATAGAAAGTGTTTTTAGCCAGTGTTTTTATAGCCAGTGTTTTATAGCCAGTGTTTTATAGCCAGTATTTTTATAGCCAGTGTTTTTATAGCCAATTAGCCAGTGTTTGTCTACTATCCCACCTGACGGTAAGATAGTGATGATGTTAATGATGAATACCTTCTTATTGCTTATACTTGTTACCAATCCATTTATTTTTGGTGGATCAGAGCCAATAGTCGACTGCCTAATAGCCTTGTCTTAGTAATACTGCTAACCAACTTGTGAAATATGCGCTTTTCGGTTTTTGATATATTTGTCGCATTCTATGAGGGTTATCTAAAAACAAGACCGCAGTGCAGCGCAAGTAATGCTATATTGCATTGGTATTCTGTGTAAAACATTTTAAATTGAGTTGTGATAGCACAGGGGCTAAATGCCCGTCATAAATGTCACAGTACGCGTGCAACTCGTGTACGATTTTCGTGCTGTATTACTTACTTTCGGCGGTGAAAGAAAACATCGTGAGGAAACCAAAAAATTGAGAGGGAGCATTTACTGTGAGCCGAGAGGGGTGAATATGTATAATTATTTACTTTTACATAGTATTAATTTACGATATTTTAAGAGCTTTGATCAAGATTAAGATGACGGACACCATTATTACTACTTCAACAAAAATATTCTACTGTGTAAATGATGCTTGATGATGATTAATTTCTGAGACGAAGAATGAGTAAATAAACAAAAAAAAAATGAAATTCGTAAATAAACATTATTATTGATATTATGTTGTTTTGTTCGTGTTTTTCCATTTTGAAATACTGCGCGTTGGAATGACCAAGCGAAAATGCAAATGCGTCTGCGTAGAGAAAACTGGATTTGGTAAACATAACAGAACAGAGACGGGGTTGCGTGGCGCCAATCTTAAGGATCAGCTGTTATTACATTGGCGCCATTTTGAAAGTAAAAGCTGCATTTTTCAATTATTAATATTATTTACACATGATACACAATATAAAATTAATTGGTAACACATACCTTATCTATGATTGTATTGTATTATTTATTAAAAACAAAACGGGTACATAATATGTATCAATTTAAATGACTAAGTTTTATAGAAATTTAAAGAGATAATAGCATAAAATGTTACGCAAAGTTTTATTAGCGACAGATGTTACGCTAGCATGTGTTCAACATGCACATTCAACTGAAAAAGAAGAAATCATGGGACTTTTAATAGGAGAGGTTCATAATAATAGCTCCTTAGTGTCAATAGTATCATCTGTTATATTACGTCGCCTGGATAAAAAACCAGATCGTGTGGAAATTTCTGAAGAACAGTTGGTACAAGCAACTCTTAGAGCTGAAGAACTAGCAGCTGAAGTTGGTAGACCACTACGTGTAGTAGGGTGGTACCATTCACATCCCCATATTACTGTATGGCCATCACATGTTGATCTGGCCACTCAATCAATGTACCAGCGAATGGATTCCAGCTTTGTTGGCATTATATTTGCAGTGTTTCTAACTGACCAATCTTTCAAAGCACCTTCGGTGCAAATCACATGTTTTCAATCAATTAATGAAGGTTCAAGTCAGAGTAGAAGGGAGATAGAAATAGAAATAACAAATAATAATGATTCTTTGACTGTAAATAACTTTGAGATATTGACACAGCTACCTGCAATATTAAAGGAAGAAGAAGATGAGTCTTGCAATAATGAGGCTGGTTAGAGTGAAACTGATGACATAATTACTAAACAACATAATGCAGCAGTAAGGACTATTGCTATAGGACATATTGTAGAAAAGATATCCAGACCGATGCTTGAGGCACTAGTTGCCCGAAATTCTCTAAATAGTGTACGCCTAAGAGCGTTAAAAAAACAGCATCAAGAATTAATGTCGATGTTGGAAAATATGTCTTGCAATGTTTAAGTACATATAATATAATGATTGATATAAGAATACGTACAAATAAAATCGGACACATTTTATACTCAGACCAACAAAAAAAGAAACAAAAGGGCTACGCACATTTCTAGTGACGCAGGAAACATGCTCAACTCCTTGACACGGGCATTCAATCACGTGTTTCTTTTTTCTTTCTTCAGCCGGTAAAAGTTTTCCGATGGACGCACGTAAAAATTTAAAATCATGTGGTTGGTTTCAAATGATTTTAAATACATTTATGTGCGTGAGTGCGTTCTTACAATAATTTGAGTATGGTTTTGTCTTGGTTGCTGCATCACACGAAAAGTACGCAGCGCTTTGTTATTCTTCATTTGTTGTAATGAGAGGACACATGAAGTTGTCGGAAATTGGTTTGGTCCTTAAGAGGATAGAGTAAGTCAGCTCAAATTCTAATTTCGCCCCCACTTCCCCGCGCGTCGTATGCTATGTACCGATATGTTTGTAATCACTAATACTGTAAGTAGAAAGGTCGTTAGACACTTATTTCATTAGGTTTATCATATTTATGCCTGTTTCTTAACGCCAAGCCAGCCGCTTCTTATTTTTATCACGGTTATTTCCCATTTTAATTTTACGTCGTACTGTTGCGTAATGTATATTCTGATCGTAAGCGACACAACTTATCCCTTCAAAAGCCTAAGCGATACTAACGGGCGACAGGAATCAAGCTCAAGACGCCGATAGTTTAGGTAATTTCTTTTTACAGTGAAAATAATGGTATTTTAAAAAAAGTAAATAACATAAGCACTGCTTTATAGTTAGTTCAGTTAGTATGCAAAGTTTCATGATCTTATTTAAAGTATTTTATGAATAACAGCGGTTTATTGTTTATTTTGGAGGTAACTTTGGATTTTTTTTCTATCGAGAAAATTTTACGAAATCGTGTTTTCGTCTAACATAATCATTAACATTAATCCTCAACTTTACCATATATTTATTTCAAAATTAATGCTGCAATATTTTCGGTATAACGAAGGATCTTGCTAAGCCATTTGACATTATATTTCCCCTTAAGTATACTTATTTATTGTATGAGATTTTTGCACAAAGCAAAAAATGTTTTGTAAATAGCATACAAAAATGATACATTTCATTGTTCGTTTATTTCATAACACTGTGGATAATTGATTGAAGTAAATATTAGGAAATGACTTTGTTTAAATTTTACACAAACAGTTTTTTTAATTAGGTATCAAAAAAGTGAATTACCACCAACACAAGCAGACTTCAGTTAGTTTATTTTTTGTAGAATAGGAAGAACATTACGTTGGGTACTTCACAAAATTCTTTTACAGCTTCATACACATTGTAGCGTCTCTACCCCACGTTTCACGCGGTTCGAGTCCGGTTCTGCTGTCGCCAAGTCGATTTAAATAGTTATTTATAATATTGTGCAATTTGCTTCTCCAGAAACTTCTGCGATAATTGTATTTTTAAGACAACTTAGTATTATAAAAGTAATAAATTGGAAAACGCTCAACAACTGCGGCAAATTCAACTTTTTTAAATTTCCATTATCCTATCTTCTCTTTCCCCTATCACTTGTATTGGTACGAATATTAAGTAAAAAGGTTTCAAATACTTAAGTGTTTAGTCACTTTGTAAAATGTCAAGATACCTTTTATTCGATTTAATAAACTTAATACATAAATGGTTTACTTACCCACTTACCCACCTCTATTTATGGTTGAGTATGATACTTTCCTTATGATCCAAGGGCAGGTTTATAATAAAGTTCAAGGTTGTCAGTTGTCATTGTTTAGAAGGTTGTTTTTTGTTTTAGATTTCAGATTCTCAATCAAAATTGACACACCATTTTATGTACCTACATAATCATTTTGATGGCACTAACAGTTTGAAGGATTATCACTTTGGAGCCGGAGTTCCGAGCAATAGTGGTACATAAACGCAAAAAACTTAGCCTCTAAATCCTAAGAAGGGATCCAGCCAGTGCATACGCCGCCTTAAAGGAGATAATGAACACAACGGTCTTTTAGAGTTTTATCAAGAAAACCATGTTCTTTACAGCAAGGGCTCCTAGCAAGGTCACAGAATCGCACAGATCGCACCACTCACTGATAAAAGCGGTGGCAACTCGAATCAGGTTCCCCGATGTAGTACTCGCTTTAAAGTACCTACTGCTGTCTTCATCATAAAGTCTTGGCGCAAGTTCCAACGGCTATGAGGGAGAAAACCCAAGACACCTTTCAAACGTGCGATTTCATACGAGTTAGAGCCACACTTCAGCAATATTATGGTTGTAGCAAGAATCAAGAATGGGTCGGCTCGACCGGGGAAGGACCACGCTTTCACAGAATACCAGTGTAAAATAGCAGCTTAATGCTGTGTTTCGTATGGTGAGTGTAGAGATCCGGTGACCTTTTTTACTAGAAACGAGGCATTCCATCTTAGTCCTTAAGGGTGACAACGCATCTGCGTTTTGATTCTTAATCGAGGATAAATGTAGTCTATGGGCCACGGCATGCACTTACCGTCAGGTGGACTGAGTGCTCGTTTGTCACCCTTATTCTTTAAAAAACAAAAAATAATGCGTGCAGCTCACACGCGACAGAAGTGAAACCTTCAATTGAAATGAATTCACATGAAATGGCAAATGATTTTTTTAATATTATAATTTAAACTACAAGTTCGGCATAAAATATAAGAAAATTTAATTTTATAGTAAATAAATGTAACAATCCCTTTAATTTTTATAACAACTGATTGACACCCAAGGTGGTAGCCAACTTGCAAAAAAAAAAAAAAAAAAGAAAAAATAAATAAATTTTAAAATAAAAAAAGGACCACCCAAAAGAATTACAACACCCCCCAAAAAAAAAAAAAAATAAAATAAAAAATTAAAAAAAAAAAAGTGGTACGTAAAATAGACGCTCGATGGCCTGAATTTATGAAATCATGAATTTTTTTCAATATGGTTAATTGTATTTGTTAATTTTTTACTGTTTACTGCCACTGCCATCTGGCTGCCATTTCTATATAAAAATCATAGATTATGAAAAGTGAACCATACGGATGGCAAACGCACGAAACTACCTACTACTGGTTTTGATGGTTCTTTTTTTATTCAAATTAGTATTACTTGGACTTAATAATTTTATTACTTATTTTATTTAAACGACGCATTTTAATCCGACCATGCTTAAAATATCTAAAGAAGTCTTCGACATTGTTAAGGTATTTTTAAAAGTACGAGAGAGCCACTAATTTTTACGACGAGTAGATTAATTTCCCTTTGAATGTTTATACTCTTTTAGATACCTTATATAGTACTCACTAATTACAAAAAGATTTATATCAATTTTACCCATTACAAAGTTGAGGTTTGGCCGTTCTTCACTGCTTGTTTATTCCATAGCATAGGCACATGCACGACACCTTCATAACTTGTTGAACAAAACGCGTAAGAGACGCCGTTTCCACGGCGTTTATGACTTTTTTCTCGCTAGACATTGAGCTATAATGCTTCCTATCTCATTTTCTCCCACGTTAAATCTTATGAATTTATGTGTCTGTCTCTATTTACTGTCGCTTTTTCGTTTCATAGATTTTCAAATCACAACGATGCTAAAGTAGTTTTCACTTCAAAAACCTCATGTTAGACTTAATCTCGATAAATTTATTACTGACAATAATATGGAAACCTCTTGACGGCAATCTATTAGGGGTATGAAAACAAATGGCCTCTGACTTGCTAAGAGCCACATCTTGTCCCAACATTCGTATTCTGCCAACAATCTGTGCCATCGACAGAGTGACAAGACGGGTCACCACATATGTGATCCCGAGTGTGTCGTCTGCGTAGCAAATTGTACCAGCACCCGGTTGGAGATCACCTCGGAGTACCCGATGTTCCACTTGAAAAACTCTGCACAACATCTCTCCTTAGCAGACGGTCTTTCCGCCAGGTCACGAAGTATATGTATATTTCAAAGAAGTAGTCTCTAGCAATCCGATTAAGGTACGGGAGCACTTTATGAAACCTTATTGCCTCCTTACACACGTTCAGGGCAATATATTAAGGCGTTGATGATGTCACTGCTAATATCACACCGCACTGTCTTATCCAAGTGGGCCTTAACATGCTTAAGCACGTACATCGTTGAACGACCCATTCGAAAGCCGGACTTCTGATCTGGCTCTACTTAGCTGAGATGTTTGATGAGGCGTAAAATACTACTGACAAAATTAATAAAAATGTGAGATACCAATGACCCAGAAAAATGGGAGAAGTTAGTGGTAATTCAGATTGCTTGAGTGGCATACCACTGGACAAGTGGTTAATTTCTCGGACTTGACTTACTTTTGAATCACGCTTTATTTTATTAACGTGTATTGATATCAAAACACATAAATATTAATGGAGCGGTTCTTATTTACGCAGGTAAAATTAAAATGTAAACAATAGTATTTGTTATGTTTTTCTAACTGTAAACATCATGCAAGGATCATGTACCGGGAAATAGCTACAAATAAGTTTATGACCTAGGGTCTCTTTTTTATTTATATGTGATGTTTTATAAAAATCGGGGTCGGTCGGGAAAAAAGCTTCTTCGTATTATTGTCTTCGTATATATAATATACACATTCTTGACTTTTTTTTTTCAAAGTTTAATTATAAAATATAATATGTGCCATTTAGTTCGATAACTTGTTGCCATATGTAGGTAGTGACATAATCCCGATGCTGTAGAAATCTTGGGATTTTTGATCAAAAAAAAATGCGACAAGTATTTTTAGCA